GCACATGGGATCCGAACCCTCGGCGGGAGCGCTGCCGCGCTTCCCAAGCGGCGCACTGTAGCAGTGCGCCACTGGGCCGGCCCTTACCATGAACTTTTTGAAGTACCCTCGTCCTTTTCAAAAACATTTTACTATTGAGAATTTCAAACATACAAAAGTAGAAAGTATTTATAATGCACATTTACATATGTGGTGAGATTCAATGTATAATGCACAAAGGTGCATCTTTCAAAATAGAAAAATAACTACATCTCATCTTAAAGAAATGCTTTATAAACTGACTTGGGGGGGATTGTTTTTATGTTCTAATTAAATTTAAAAATACACATTTTCACAGATTAAATTATACACTGTACTCCATGGCATTACATCCATGCTTTTATACATCGAAAAAATTTAACCTCTCATTAAGGACTATGTAAGGAAAATGCCTAAAGACTTAAAGAATACCTTGTTTTACACACCACTGCAACTGTGCAAATACATCAGAAAGAAGAATTTCATTCAAAGCTTCATAAAATTGTGTAAATACGTCACAAATAGCATAAAGTGCATGATTGCAGGTTGTTGTCATCCACTCGGATTTCTGGAAAAAACATAAAAAGATAACACTTAAAAGCCACTTTCCCTGAAGTGAAATGGTCATTCTTGTGTACTACAGGCAAAACTATTCTCGAAAGCAATTTGGCAATATGTATCAACAATCTTAAAAATGTTCATACCCACTGACTCATGAGCGCTACTTCCAGGAATTGATCCTAAAGGAATAATCAAAGATTTGTGGGCAAAGATTAATGAATAAAGATGTTGACCACAATGGCAATTATATACTGAAAACACAGATACAACCTAATGTCTAGCAACGTGGGCATTAAATTAAGTACACCCATATAACAGAATATTAAATAGTCATTCAAAATGATACTTAACAGTTTTAATGATCTGGAAAAAATGAACATGAGATTATAAAATCATGGAAAAGGGAAGTATTGCTAAACATAATTCTAAAAGAGGAAAACTGATAGATTTGGTTATTTAAAAGCTAAAATATCACCCCCCAAAAATAAAAATTACAACGGGAAAAATCATCTGCAACTTATGTAATATGCTACATTATTTATATATTTAAAAAACTTATAAATCAATAGGAAGAAGATGAATAACCCAATAGATGGGCTAAGGATATAAAAGGCAATTCATAAAAAAAGAAACACACATGATCAATGACATGAGAGAAAATATACAACATCCCTAGCAATTAAAAAACCTTTTTAAGTGTGATACTTTTGGCCCATCAAATTAATCATTATTAACAGATTAAAATACAAAGAACTGGAGGAGGTATGGAGAAACAGGAACTCTCGTGTATTGCTGACAAAAGTATAAATGGCTACAGGTTTATCTGGAGGTCACCTTAGCAGTACTATCAAAAGGCTAAGTAACATGCAAGCCCCAGACCTGGCAGTTAGGCCACTTGTCTTAAAAATAACAGAAATACACACCAAGGCCCAGGGTTCCATCCCTATACTGGCTAACAACAACCCCCTCCCCCCAAAACCAAAAGCCAAAACAAAACAAAAACAACTTTATTAAAAAGAAAGAGAAAAAGAAAAGGAGAAATAAAGAACACGAGTACAAGTGTAGCTACAAAAAATGTTCATTTCAGTGCTATCTAAAGAAAGAAAAATTGGAAACAACCTAAATGTCCATGGAGTGTGGAACATCCACAACAAAGAATATTTTGCAGCCATCAAAAACATCATGGAAGAAAAGTTACATTTGTGGAAAAATACTCATGTACTAAGTTAAAAAAGCAATTTACATGTGTGGTGAGATTCAATTTTTGTAGAAAGAAAAAAAAAGGTGGATTTTCTCCCATCCTCCCCACAGAAGCACCACCTGAGGGGCTTAACAGTGTCTGCCTATGGAAGACTGGAACTGTGGGTGTTTAAATTTTTCTTTTTGTCTGTTTTCTGGTTTTCCTGTGATAATTATGTATTTGTTTCATAATGAGGAAAAACGTAAGTTATTTTAAAATTAAAGAAGATTAGAAAACTCTTATCTATACTATGACCTCAACCATATTTAAACCATGTAGAAAACTGAGGGAAATTTGCCAAAATATTAACTCTAATTTCTGGATGGTAAAATTGTAAGTTTTTCTATATATTCCTAATATTCCATATTAAGCATATGCTACTTTTATACTGGGGTGAGAGAAGGAATAGCTTTCCTAAAAGAAGGTAAAAAAAAGTTACTGTCTTTTCTAAAAATCTTGAGATAGACTATCCTTTCCCTACTCCTCTATTTCTATGAAACAAATAACAAAAACACTTAGAGGCATTAAGTGCACTTTGAAAAAAAAGGCCTAATATTCACCATCATCTCAAGTGTACCTTCATTAAAAAGTCTTAAGGGACCAGAGACATTCCACTTTCTACTGACTGCTTAGAAGTCGATACGAACAAAACAACTAAGATGACCGGCAGGAGCCCTGCTGAACTGGCAGGTACAATGCCCAAGGGCTAAGTGGGCAGACCATGGGGATTTATTTCCTCTCTACCTTCTGATGGTGACAGTCTCTAAGAATTAACTGATACCAGTAGGAGAGTGCCAGGAAGGGTGTTTCCATTTTTACAACATACCTTAAGTAGCTCAGTATTCAAGACCTCTGGGTAGATGAGGACACAACTGCCTTGCCCACCCACCCACCTCCCCTCAGGCAGATACAGGCCAAACAGCCTTTCTCCCCATCATACCCAGGGCACTGCTGTGGTTACCACCTACCTCTGACTGTTGCTCAGGGAGTTTCATATTGTCAAAAATCCGAAACACGATTCTGAATAAGTCCTGCCACCAGTGCTTTTCAAAGGTGTGGCCATAGCTCTTCATGATCTCAAACATGACTGTGAGTCCTCTGCAGGAAACAAAGCCAGACACAGAAGAGAAAATGGGTGGGGGAAAAGAACAACAAAAAAGGGAGTGGGAGAAAATGGGGTCAGGCAAGCAAGCAACTGAGGCTCATTTCAGTGATGTAAGGGGTCACTGCAACGGGGACATGGTTACCTTGTCCGTACATCTAACTTGCATCTGTTAATGATGCAGGAGAGCTCAAATAAGATGGGGAACCAGCCTCGAACCCAGACTCTGTCACCAGGAGCTACATTCATATCATCACTTGTATATTCTTGTAGCACCTACAATGAAAGTCACATCTCAGATGTAGACTAAGCAAGCAAAAAGAAAGGGAACTATACAAAGATTAAGACCCCACAGATTACCCTCTCCTAAAAAGCTGTTATTCAGCAAGGGTACAGTGAGGAATCCCAAGGAGAAAGAGATATTCCTGGCCTAAAGTGCACATAAACAGTTTCCCCATATGAACCTATGAACCTTAGTGGGTTTTAGAACAAGTTGAGTGGGGCAGATCACTGGAGGTGTTAAATTAAGAAGAGCACTAAAGGTCAAAGCAAAATATCCAGGATGATTCAATATCTTAGATCTTTCTGGAATGTTACTATAATACATATTACTTAAAACAATAGCAACAGCAGCAGCCACTATTTACTGAGTGCTTGTTATGGGCCAGGAACTTAAAGTGCTTTACGTGGAGTAACAATTCTCAAAACAATCCCAAGAGGCAGGTAGAAATAATGGTCCCGTTTTATAGATGAGTTAACTGTGGCACTAAGAGCTTAAGTAAGCTGCCCAAGATTATACAATTAGAGTTGGCAGTCTTTTCACAGTCTGGATGTGAAGCCCTACTCTCTGTGCTATCTCGGGGATTTCCACCTTTCTGCTCTGTACCCACTCTTGAAATGGTATTGGAATTTCTTTGTCAACTCTGGTTATCTAACACTAGGCAATTTCTCTCTGTGCTTCAGTTAACTCCCCTGTACAGTGAGATATAAATACCTATCTCACAGGTTTGAAGTGGGGACTAAAGGAATCCATACAAAGAAAACACCAAAATAGTGCCTGACAAGTACTTAGTGCTCAATTAACCTTGGCTCTCATTATCTCACACCTAAATGAGTTGTGTGGGAATCAGACATGTCATCTTAGGGGTCTACAGTTCTGTAAGAATACTTAAGAAGAGATCTGTATAGGCCATCATAGTTCAGCTTGTTTCCACCCAATTTCAGTGTTTACTCTGTCATTTAAATTAAGCAGGCATCTTTAGAAGATTTAGACATAGCAAAAAAATCCCAAACATTTTTCAGGAGAAAACAAAAGGTGATTTTTAAATGTGATTTCTCAAGCACATCACAACAGCATAATGTTATTTTCTAAAAGGGCGGTTTTCTTTCAAATAAAAAAGTCTAGCTTCCTGAGTGTTGTCAAAATGCAAAAGCTAAAATACTATTATCTTCTACATACACAATCTGTAGAATACCATATAAAAGTTCAGTATGAATAAAGTAAATAATTTCGTATATACAAAACAAAGAAGAGGTATAACCCCTGCAATGGCAACATTTTCAAATAAACCCTGAGTTTAGGGCAAACACACATTTCTAAAAGAGTATCTGAAAAGATCTTCATCAGGTGCAAGGGTTTTTTCCCTTCACTGCCCAGGTGAATGAGGAGAGGAAAAATGTACCCGAGGCCTATCAGAGACGTATTTCCCACAGAAACGAATGAGCCGGATAGCTTCCATGCTAGTGTCAGGGAAAGCAGCATTGCAGGCAAACTCTGATAAGCACTTCACAGCATCCTGAAAGGAATCGATGGCTGCAGGGAAATGGTGCTGGAAAATAGTTGCTGGGAAACACAAGGCACATTTTCATAAGATCAGGAATTAGAAACAGGGATTCACACACACACACGGCACATTTTCATAAGATCAGGAATTAGAAACTTGGATTCACACACACACACACACACACACACACAGGGATTCACACACACACACAGGGATTCACACACACATGTGCGCGCGCACACACACACACACACACACACACGAAATGATTACCTTCACTGAAATCTTAAAAAAGCATGTTAGTATCTCTGGAAGACAGCTTTTCTGATTAACACATTATTCAAGAATGAATGCATTGAGTACAGCTTGGACTAAACTGGTTTCCTGAGCTCAAGCAATGATTTAAAGGCCCAAATATCCATTCATTCAATATACATTACTGAGTGCCAACTATTTGCAAGCATGACCCAATGCCTTAGCACTTTCACGGAGACCAAGTAAACGTGATCAAGTTGTTATGTGATCAAAGGCAGAACCCAGGGACTTCTGGTCCGTCCAGAGTGCAGGGACACTGCACCAACTCTGGGCTGCACTGCTTGGGTGTGAGTCCTGGCTCTAGCACTTTGTAGCTGGATGACCTTGGGCAAGTTGTTCTACTTGACTTTTCTATGCCTCAGTTTTCTCTTTGGTAAAATGGAGGAAACAGTGGTACAATCGGTTCTCATTATTCACGTAGTTATGCTTTATAAAGTCACCGTGAACACTGAATTAGAAAATACTAAACCACCACTCCTAGGATAAATATGGGGTTAGGTTCCTGTGAGTCTCTGGTCACAATATTTTCATTAACTGATCAATACACAACATCGTTGTATGTGTGTTTCTTTTTAAAGGCACCTTATTTAATACACATTGTTGATCCATTAACATTGAACTCACACCAACAGTACTATAACTCATGCCTGAAGGAAGCATTTGTATTTTCTCCATGAGATACATCATGGCCTTTCTGCACTTAGGAATACTAGCCAGTGTATCGGCCAGCCACCAAAAAAACCCAAACGAACAAAAAGGAATACTAGCCAGCACTCAGCACTATGCTTGGGGACCATTTTAAACAGCAAAACCACCAACAAAAAGCACAAAAACATGAAAAATGTGACACTCAATAGACCAAAGAAAGGACACTTGTTTATGGTATGAGAGCTGATATAAGAAGCTAGAGCAGCTAGTAATACTGTATTATATATTTCTTTGTTTTGTTTTATTATGTTTTTGGGCGGCTGGCCAATATAGGAATCGAACCCTAGATCAGCACCACACTCTAAGCAACTGAGCTAACTGGCCAGCCCTGTACTGTATATTTCCAAATAGCCAGAAAAGAAGATCTTAAATGTTATAAATGAAATACAAAGAAATGATAAATGTTTAGGTGATAAGATATGCTAACTATTCTGATTGGATCATTACATAATACTTGCATTATTGAAACATCAAACTGTACACAATAAAAATGTACAATTAAAAATAAATTAGGGGGGCCGGCCCGGTGGCGCACTGGATAGTGCGCCGCTTGGGAAGCGCGGCGGCACTCCCGCCCGTTTGGTTATTTAAAAGCTAAAATATCATTCCCGCTCACTGGCTGAGCGAGGCGCGGGAGCAACACTGAGGGGTGCAATCCCGTTGCCGGTCCCCGGTCCGGTACGGGGGCAACACTGAGGGTTGCGATCCGTTGCCGGACACGGAAAAAGACAAAAAGACAAAAAAAATAAAAAATAAAAAAAAATAAATTAGAGATGGCCCATGGCTCACTTGGTAGAGTGTGGTGCTGACAACACCAAGTCAAGGGTTAAAATCCCCTTACTGGTCATCTTTTAAAAAAAGAAAAAATAAATAAATAAAAAATAAAAAATAAAAATAAAAATAAATAAATAAATAATTGAAAAATACAAAAAAAATTTACACAATTTTATAAGTAGAAAATCCTAAGGCATACATTAAAAAAAAAAAAAAGCTTAGCAGAACTCAATAAATGAGTTTAGTGAAGTTGTGAGATACAACATCAATTGAGGCAAAAAGAAAAAAGCTAGAGCATCACCCTGTTCCACCTCAGCTGAGAATGTGCACCTTAGGTGACTCAAGTTTTTTGCTATTCTGTGCATGCACATGCTGGCAAATGACACGAAAGCACCAGGAGTACTGGTTTTGGGGTGACATATATTTTAGTGAGTAGGCGAATCAGCAAACATGGAGCCCACTAGTAGTAAGGATCAACTGCATTTCCTTCAAAGGACTGATGTGAGGATTAATACATGTTAATTGCTTAGAACATCACCTGGCACATTATTATATCACAGCGCAGGTAAAGCAAGGAAGCCCCTTTAGATAGAAAAATAGATAGTAAATAAGCAGCCACACTTTTAGACTTGCAGTGGGACACTGGTCAGGAGGGAACAGAGGCACTTACTGACGATGTGGCCTGTGGTCTGGAAGGCTAGCTCCACAATGTTCCCATCATGATCAGAGGCCGCCTGGTGGAACACTGCAAAGATGTTCTTCCAGCCTGAGCGGATATTGGCCGCCTGGGAATTCACCATCTGGGCAATACAGCGGATCACCATGTCTCGGATGGTTGGAGATCTGAGGAAGGAATGGGACAGCCACATCATCTCTATGGGAATACTTCATGGAAAGATTCTTATTATCTTTCAGTTCTATTTTTCCGTGAACTCTTTGAAGTACCCTCATAGAGTCAGCCCTCAGTATCTGTGGGGGATTGGTTTCAGGACTTCCTCTGGGTACCAAAATCCAAGGATGTTCAAGTCCCTGATATAAAATGGCGTAGTATTTGTATATAACCTACACACATCCTCCTGTATACTTAAAATCATCTCTAGATTATTCATAATATCTAATACAATGTAAATGCTATATAAATAGATGTTATATTATTCAGGGAATAATGACAAGGAAAAAAAGTCTGTATGTGTTCAATACAGACCCATTTTTCCCCCCCAAATATTTTCAATCCACTCTTGGTTGAATGTATGGATGTGGAACCCATGGATACGGAGGGCCAATTGTACTTTGGAGAATGGAAAGAGAAATGAACACAGCTCATCCCTTAGAAGCGTTGCTCAAAAAAATTTTTTTAAAGCACACAGTAAACCACATTCATTTAAGCTTTGTTCCCTTTTCTCTTGTTTCCATTCTGAAGCCAGCATGATGCCTAGAGCTAGCACCACCATCCTGCAATCAGGAAAGAATAGACGCAAGGATGAAAAGCTGACCCCATGGACAGCAGAACAGAAGGATGGAAAGAACCTGGGTCTGCAGGGACAATTTGTGCTATGAAACCAAAGGTGGGACAGTCTGACTCTGACTTCATTTAACGTAAACAATGCACAGCCTTGTGGTGTAAGCCACTGTTAATTTTTCTGGCCCAAAACATTTCAACCAATATACTTGTAATGCTGCCACACAGAGATATTAACTATTACTAAATTTTTAGTGCATATCCTCTTAAATTTTTGGTCAGGGGTATACATTTATGATAAACACGTATACTCATATGTGGACTGAAGTATCCATACATAATTTAAGATGCAATATTTTTAATTTAATTACTACAAAACAAAACCCGAGGAAAGAAAAAATGGCCTATTTTCTGAAAGAGCTGCAAGGTTAAATATGGAATCACTTGAATACTTGCATATATGTCTTGCAACCTATTAAGGCAGAGTTCCCTATGGGGGAACTCTATTATCTCACAAATAGCACGAAGCAAAGCTATGCAAACCTATTGCTTTTATAGCAGTAGCTTTGAAAGTCATTAGAGTGACCTTGGGACTGCACATTTGACTTTCAAATTTCATTTGTCTTAAGATAACATTCACATTTGTACTGGACCCATTCTAAGTGAGAATACAAAAGGCCATTTAGAGAAGGCAAGGAGAATGTCAAAACAGAGTTGAAAATTAACTAAAAGTCCACAAAGTAAATATGCCACCTCCAGATAATGGAGGTTCAACTACATACCTAGGTAACTTCAATACATAATAAAACTGAATCATAATTATTTGCCAATGGGTAATAAAGGAACTTGTTGGCAAAAGCTATATATTTTAAAACAGTTTTTGTCTGATTGTTAAAAGTAATATGATGACAGTAAGTTTTGGAAAATGCAGAAGTATAATGAAAAAAATTCCTTTACATGATGGTGTTTCATATGGAATGATGCACAGTAGTATCTTTATTATACTGCCTGTCCAATTCTATATCCTGTCCTTTTCACTAACTTACTACACATTCCTCACATTATAAACTTTATGAACATTTTAACTGCTACACAATATTCCATATTGTGGCTGTACCAACATTTACATTAACACTTCTATAATTAGGTGGTTTTTTTTTTAAACTAGTTTGTGTGACTCACAACGTTTTACTGAATTTCAAATGAGTTATATAAGTGTAGAATTACTGAGTCAATCGGCACAAAAATATTAAGAGTCTTGACGCATGCCATCAAAATGCTTTTGAAATGTTATCCCAAGGGATAGTCTCACCAACAGTGCCTGAGAGTGGCTGGCAATGTGTGATTCTAAACTCACAGGGCCCCTTTCTAAAAGTAAAAAGAATAGTGTAATTGAAATAGGGTGACTCCCACTTTTATAACATACACAATTTGCTTCTGTGAAACTACTTGCTGTGTGACAAGATAGATTGATAAAGTTTAAACAGTGTTTGAATTGCTTAGAAAATGTTGTTGTTTGAAAATCCCCCTCAGCTCTTCAGCCCCCTTGACAGAAGTTAAAAGCTAAATATGAGCCTGCACTTAGAGAAGTCTGAATTTTGTTTGCTGTTCCCCACCCAAGCTGCCCCTGAGTAACTGGCTTGTTTCAGCTTCTGTTATCAGCTTGCGCTAGGCTTCCCCAAACCCCCTCCTCATGCCAGGAGGGTATGTGTGTCTGTGTGTGACTATATGATAACTATAAGTGTGTGACTATTTGATAATTTTAACTATGTGACTAATGTAAAAATGCGCCTTTTAAAAAAACCCCTAAACTTCAAGTCAGGGCTGTTCTCTTCCGAGACTTTCTTGGAGAGACAGTAGCCAGCCGGCCAATAAAGACCCCCTTTTAAATTCTCAATTGGGTACTCTGGTTCCTTTTCCGTGCGGCAGCCTCACAACATAATGAACTCCTGTACACCCATCACCTACCTGCAACTATTATCAATTCAGGGCCCCTTGTCAAAACCAGGAATTTTTAAAAGTTTTCTTAATTGCTGTATTCTCAGCACTTAGCATAGTACTTAGCGGAGAGCATGCCTCAATAAATATAGGCTGAGTGAATGAATGAATAGGACAAGCAAGAGGGACTGGCATCCTGACCTCTTTTGTCATCTCTCTAGCGCAGAAATGCTGGGTCACAGAAATTTTGTCCTTGTTTGAGAATGCTTCAGCAGTGGCTCTTTCTAAATTCCCTCAGCACCAGCCCCAATAAGGATGCATGACATATTTCTCACATGACATATTTTCATCTGTCTTCCTGGGAAAGGTTACACACAAATATTAGTGTGATTTACTTAAGGATATTTGATATGAATCACAGTCTGTTCATTCTATTTGCATCCAACAACAAGGGAGGAAAAAACTAATTATGTGTGTAGTGTTAGGCAGGCTTTTTAGGCCCGCAAGGGGGAATATGACCAAGGGTCTTCAATGCATATACCTGTTTTTCTTCATAATATGCTCAAATGGCCTCAGAAAATCCTTCTGGAAACGGAAGTTGGCTAATTCTCCCTTCTCAAGAAACTTCATGGAGAGCTGCCTTAATGAGTCAACGGCAAAGATAGCCACATCTTCGTTGGGGTTACAGCCAACCTGATTAAGAACAGGAAATGAGGTGAAACAGGCACAGTCTAACAGTTGCGGATGTGGGACTCTGAACATCAAAGATGGACAGCGTATCTTCAAAACAAACACTCTGGAGGGCTGGCTGGTTAGATCAATTGGTTAGAGCATGGTGTTGCCAACACCAAGGTCAAGAGTTCAGATCCCTGTACTGGCCAGCCGCCAAACAAAACAAAACAACAACAACAAACATTTTGGGAAAACACATCCAAGGAGAAAAGAAAATATTATTTCTTGACTAAGATCTGTCCTATTTTATTTAAGTATAATGATGAAAAAATCAGTATTGCACATTTAATTAAAAGTGCTTTCAAAATGTGCTATTTAATTTTTTAAATTGTAAAATATGCCTAACAAAATTTACCATCTTAAACCATTTTTAAGTGTACAGCTCAGTAATGTACATTCACACTACTTTGGAACCAATCTCTAGAACTCTTTCCATCTTACAAAATAAAACTCTGCACACATTAAACAATAACTCCCCAGGTACTATTTAATTTTATCCAAATATATATGAAGGGTCAAAAGACTTTATCGTCTATGGAAAGCCTTTTCATACTTTCCCAATGTCTGTCACCTAAAGCAAATTATTATAAATGAATATCATCAGCCTTGAAAAATTCTGCATTAATACTGAGTGAGGCTTTTCAATTTCTTTAAAAATTGTACCTGTCAGTGTAGACAACCATGTCCAGATCCTGTTTCATTTTTACACCAACTCAGTAAAAATGCTGCTCCTTGACGTCCCATCCTCCCCAAGCCTCCCTAAAATTAAACTGCATGTGAGCTCTGGAAAAAAAAAACTGTACTTGTCTATGGTTTAGCTACTTTTAGGGATTGGAGTCACAGGTATATATTTGATTGGTGCTTTTCAGACTTTCCCTTCAAGAAAATCCCTAAAGCAGAGCGAGGGAATGTCCCCCCCCCCCCCACCAAGGTATCTGGGTGCATCCTGCAGTGACCCACTTCGAGTGAGAAATTTCACAGACATGTGGTCTGATCTGAAAATGTTTTATTTTTTCACAAAAGTAATGCAGCAATACCATTTGTAACAATGAAAAATTGTAAACATCAACAGGAAAATAGCTATATTCACACACACGGACTACTATTTGACAGTTAAAAAGAGAGAGTAAACTCCGCCTTTAAAAGAAAAAGAATCCTGACACATGCTACGACACGGATGAGCCTGGAGGACATTTTGCTGAGTGTGATAAGCCAGTTATGAAAGGACAAACACTACCTGATTCCACTTATATGCGGTACCTAGAGTAGTCAAATTCATTGAGACAGATAGTAGAATGGTGGTTGCCAGGGGAAAGGGGAAGAGGAATAGAAAGGTACTGTTTAATGGGCATAGAATTTCAGATTTACAGAATGAAAAGACTCCTGGAGAACTGTTACACAACAATGTAAATGTACTTAACACTACCGAACTGTACAGTTAAAAATGGGTAAAATGGTAAATTTTATATTATGTGTATTTTATCACAATTAAAATAAAAAAGAGGGGCAGGCCAGTTAGCCTCACTTGGTGGAGCATGGTGCTGATAACACCAATGTTAAGGGTTCGGATCCCTGTACTGGCCAGCTGCCAAAAAAAATCAAATAAAGAGAATATACAAAAGAACCAATCTACATATGCTAACATGGCTAAATCTTTAAGATTCCTTGATAAGTGGAAGAAGTTACAAAATGCTATGTGCAATACTATTTATGCTTTTTAAAAAAGCAAAACAAACCAAGAAAATAAATCTATATTTCTATGAGTACATACATATGTACATGCATAGAAAAATGTCAAAAGAATATACACCAAACTGGTAAGGATCATGAGCTTAGGGGAGGGCCAGCTGTGTGTGTCGGGGGAGAGGGTCGGGGGGTGGTCAAAGGTATTTTTTGCTGTAATTTTTTAAAAAGGGGAACAAGTTCATATAATGTGTGTTCATGTAATTAGCAATTAATAAAAAGAATATTCCCTTCTAAAAATCCAGGTAGAACAGACATTTCAGGTATACACACCATACTTGTGCAGCTTTGCTCACCCAAGACACAGTATCTGTGCCCTAGTTTAGAAGAGCATCACATGACTGCTCAAATGACCCTGCTAGCATCCTGACAGCTAAGTTATAGCTTTACTCAGCCACCCACATTTCTTCAAACCCATGAGATTCTCACGTGCTCCAGTGCACAAAGGGAAGCAGAACATCTTTCCAAGGTGGTGGAAAGAATTAAGAGCCCCAAAGTGAGCAAATGAGTTTTCCACAACTTGGGGCTTAACAGTGCTGATTAGACGGAACGGACATTTGTAATGAAGTTGACAACCATGAAATGTCTAATTACTACCTGCCAGCTTATGTCCCAAGCTTGCTAGTAAGTGGCCCATTCATAACTGAGAACTGGCATGCAATGAATCTTGACAACAGAATCAAAGGTGGGTAAAGTAACCTATACAAATTGATGTTCCCTCCCAAAAAAAGAAGCCCCACTGAACCTGAAATCGAGACTTTGAAGAGTTGGGAAAATGTTTACTGAAACACTTTTGGACAGTCATGTTTGAGAGAACAAAGGATTCCACAGCTGTCAGCCAACAGCTCTTGTGGAATACAAGAGCAATGTTAGCTCTAGCTTAGCTGTCACAGGCTTGGACAAGAGTACAAGGTAATGGTAATGAGTCACATTTTCTTTCTCGAGCAAGTGCACATCAATTATTTCAACTGGTCCAATAGAATTTGTTTACCCAGAATGGTGGGAAAGATGGTGCTGAGTTAGTTGATTACTTGAATGAAAGGGTTACCATTTGCTCAGCAAATAGTTTCTCTGGGTCATGCACAGGCTCCTGCACCCCTCTCTGCTCACTGAGGGCTCACATGAGAGGCCACTTCCATAGAGAGGACTTCTCTGATCTGGCCATCTCAAGAACCCAGACACACTGCATTTCTCACAAGTTATTTTATCATAAAATATGGGCAAGCTGTACTCAGGCAGGGACCTCGTGTGTCCACTGCTGGCACTCAGATACTTTGTTAAACAGACAGTGTGCTGTGAGGTACCTTAATTTGAGCTGATAAGAAAACAAAGAACTTTCACTAGCTCATGTACCAAGTTAGAAGCAAGACTGCATTTGACATGCCTCATTTCAGTGGTTGCTGCAGCAGGCTAGCATTGCCTGTGAGAGCTAACGGTGCCCAGCTTTTGCCTGCTACACATTTAGTGACACCATATCACCAGCTTTAAATAGGCCATGGTGGGGTATTTACACAGCAGAAATCAGGAGATGCTACAAATCATTTACCAGTATCCTAGTGACTGTTCTATATCCCAATGGCAGACTACTTCTTTCTATGATTTTCTTCTGTTCAATGTAAACAGAGCAATTCTCTTTCGGATTGTTTCTTACTAAAATACAATTTGTAAGCATCTATATTAAAACCTTGCATCTCCAGGCCTGAGAAAATTTTCTTGAGATCATGAAGTGTGTTTTGGTAGGCAACAGTGTTATTAAGCTATTATGTTTCCCTAAAGAAGTAAATAACATCACAGGTACATACATTGTTTTGATTGCTTTTCCCCCCAATATTTTTATTGTGGTAAAGCACATATTTGATTTTTAATTTATTCAATAAATATATGCATGTGTCTGCGTCTGTATGTGTATAATGAAACCTCTAAGGAGAGAAAGTTCAGACTAGTTTACTCCCAGCACTCATTGGTTTTAGAACACAGAATTGTCCTCGGCTTGTTTCTCGTTTAAAAACAAATGTTAATTTTATCAGAAAGAATTCAGAACAGAGGTAGCAATGGGAGACAGAATACTAGAAGTAATGACATTTAATAGTGAAAGTATATGGAACAAAACAATCTTAGGTTATTAAGAAGTCATTTTAGGGTTTCACAATGCTTTTAAGCACCAATATATTTGTCCAGTGACTATAATCATCTTTGTGGTATTAGCTCACACCCCGGATATGGGATGTTAAAGTATTTTACTATCAAGCTTTTTTTGGGGGGGGGGGGCAGCTAGCAAGTCTATCAAGCTATTCTTGATTTCATAGGGAAAATGAATTATAGACACCTAAAAAACAGGACTAACTTTTTATCACTTCTTTTTTGAATTTAGTTGCCTACATTTTTTTTGACACTGATGGAGAAGTTTTCATTTCTTTTATTTACTTATTTTTTTGGAGCAGTTTTCAACTTTGAATAATTACCTTATTGAAGTGATCTCCAATCACATGCCATATTCGGGACCACTGCAGTCGGATCCGATTCATGTTGTAGTATGATATCTCCACAATCTTCTGCAAGCTGAACATGCGAGGATGGTGGGGGGAAGCCAGTTCATCCATGGACACAGCACACAGCCAGCGGACAAAGTCAACTACAGGCCAGATCCAATGACACATGCAAAGCCTCATTAGTAATTGTCAGAGAGTCACAACATAAGGCTTATGTAATTGTTGCAGGTGAATCAAATACATACCTATTGCATTTCCATCCAGCCTGGTAGATCCAGTAAAGATTCTAGGAAGACATTCCAGACAAAATAGAATAAAAATTAGATTTGGAAGCTGAAGTTTCTCAAATACTCAGAAAAGGCAGAGAGGAAACATTTCAGGTCTGGCACCTCCACCAAAATAAATGATGAAGCATCACAAGTACAGAACTGGTCAATAAGCTGAGAACAGAAAAGCCTATACTGAGAGAAAGTGACACATCAAAAGGGGGCAGGGGAAAGAGTCGAAATGTAGCAGCATGTGATATAACGTTCGTGAGAACTGGTGGAGAGAGAACCTCCAAAAAGTTGCTCCTCCATAAGAGTAACAAGAACACTGGGAAAAAATTACCAAAAATAATGTTTTCAGAACTGAACTCTTGTCATTAACCAAAGGCTTACAAAAATCTGAGGAGTGTTTTATTTTCAAGAGAAATGGTTGAATCTTGGTTTAAATGACAAACGCTGTAGCGTTTTAACTTGGCCTATTTCCATTATTCTTTCCCTAGCTCCACAGAAAACTCTAAAAACAAACAGCTTCCAACTCATGGTAAATGTGAAACCAGCAACCTACCAGCCACCGGAGGGAGCAAAACAGCCTTGAAGTTCCCCCAAAACACCATTTCTCAGAGAACTGATGTTATTTGACTTCAAACAGCCTTTCCCCCAGGAGCTTTTACCAAAAACAATCAGCAACAACTGTTTAACATTGAAGCCACATGAGGCAGCAATAACAGTTGGGGCAAACAAGTACTTGGACAAAAACTTAAAAGGAAAAGGTGGGATGAGATGCCATAGGAGGCTTTGAAAAGCTCCAACATACTCCTGAGAAGCTAAAAAGCCATTATAGGTACAGGGCTTTGTGCACATCCAGGAAAGATATGAGAAGGATATGCTCTCATCCCTGGCTGACCATAAGGCTCTCCATAAACAAGAAATGGAGGCAAAGGCAGTGTCATAAACTGCTTGCTTGAGTGTTCCAGGAGCATTCCCAAAATGTACACAAGGCCCCTCAGCAAGCAAAGGTTAGGAGACTTAACAAAGGTCTCAGGCATTCAAGAAAATCTCTGACAAGTAAAGCTAACTGGCCACATGCAAAAAAGTGGGCAAATGCAAGAAAAAGTATAGACTTTACACAACTAATTCAGGAAAGTCAGTAAACAAACAGCAATAATAACAGTAAACTCTAAATGGGAGGGTGGGAAATCTGATATCCAAAGTTCCTGCATCATATTATTTTAAATGTCCAGTTTTCAACAAAAAAATGAATCATGCAAAGAAATGAAAAAGGATTGCTTATTCACAGAAAAAGAAACAGTCAGTGGAGACTGTCCTGGGGAAGCCCAGATGTTGAATTTACTACTAGACAAAGTTTTTAGGTTACTTATTTTAAATATGTTCAAAAAAACGAAAGGAAATCATGAACTAAAGAAACTATGAGAATGTCTCACCAAGTAGGGACTACCAATAGAGAGACAGAAATAATAAAAAAGTCAAATAGAAATTCTAGAATTGAAAATTATAAAGCTGAAATGAAAAATTCACTGGGAGGGCTCAACAGCAGTTTTGAGGTGGCAGAAGAAAAACATCAGTGAACTTGAAGATAAACTGAATGAGACTGTCTAACATGATGAACAGAAATAAAAAAATTTTAAAAAATGAACAGAGCTTCAGACACCTGTGGGATACCATCACACATACTAACATACACATAATGGAAGTCCCAGATGAGAGAGAAGAAGGTGGGTAGAGTGGGGCTGAAAGAACATTTGAAGAAATAATGGCTGTAAACTTCCCCAATTTGATGAAAAATAAATCCAGCAAGTTCAACAAACTCCAACTAGGATAAACTCACAGAGAATCACACCTAGATATATCATAATCAAACTGCTGAAAGCCAAGGACAGTGAGAGAATCTTGGAAGGAGACAGCAGTGACTCATCACATACAAGGGATCCTCAATAAGATTAACAGCTGCTGTCTCACCAGGGATAACACGTTCAAGGTGCTGAGATAAAGACTGTCAACCAAGAATTCTGTATCCAGCAAAACTATCCTTCAAAAATGAAGGAGAAATTAAGACATTCTGACAAAGACTAAGATAATTCACCACTAGCAGAGCTGTGCTACAAGAAATACTAAAGGAAGTACTTTGGGTTGAAATGAAACAAAACTAGACAGTAACTCAAAACTACATGAAAAAATAATGAACACTGATAAAGGTTACTACATAGGAAAATACAAAAGATAATGCTAATGCATTTTTTGTTTGTAACTCTTTTTTTTTAATCTATCTGACTGAAAAGACAACTGCAAAAAGTAGTAATTAAAAATCTCTGTTGATAAGCATATGTTTATAAAGATATACAGTAATTTGTACAACAATAATAACACAAATAAGGGGGAGGAAATGGAACTATTTTAGAGCCAAGATTCTTTATACTACTGAAATTAGGTTGATAGAAATTCGACTAGAATGTTAAAAGTTAATGTTATTAATCATAATCCACAAAGCGATCACTAATACCTAAAAAATATATAGTAAAAGAAATGACAAGAAGTAAAACGACACAGTAGAAAGTATATTTAACATAGGAAAGATAATAGTAATGAAGAGGGGATCAAAAAGACTTAAGACATATAAAAAAAAGAGACAATGAAACTTAAAGACTAAAATCATTACTAGAGACAAAGAAGACTTTATAATGATAAAAGGTTTAATCCAAGGAAACACAGCAATTATAAACATATACACATCTAAAAACAGAACCCTAAAACACATGAGGCAGAAAAAAATAGAATTAAAGGGGGAAAAAACAATTCAACAATGTCTAGAATAGGCATATCCATACAGACAGTAGATATAGTAGTTAAAGAGATGGGGTGGTGGGAAAGAAAGGAAATGGGAGTGATTGCTAATAAGTATAGGGCTACTTTATACAGAAATAAAAATGTTCTGAAATTAGATAGTGGTGGTGATTGCATAAATCTGAATATACTAAAAAACACTAAATTGTATATTTTAAAAGAGTAAGTATTATGGTATGTGAATTACGAGGGTACTTCAAAAAGTCTGTGGAAAAATAGAATTAAAAGATAATATGAATCTTTCCCTGAACTTTCTGAAGTACCCTTGTATATCTCAACTGAAAAAAAAAAAAAA